GCAGGTGAGAGAGAAAGGACAACTAAGAGGACAAGCTGTCTCTTACGGTTACGCATCTGATTGGTTCTTTCAATTTAATTTGAATGCGATCGCGATCCCTTGCATTTGATTTTACGATCTCACTGCATCCACTCTGAATTGCTCACCTTCACGTCATGTTCTTGGCTTAATTTTATCGATTCACAGTAGTTGATTATTTTTCACACTTCCAAATATAAAGTACGAGGTAAAGTATTTATTTCGCTGCACCCCACACTTAGTTCTGTTAATTTAAAGGTATCTAAATTTAAAGTGCAATACAGTAGGCAACCAAGAGTATGACAAGGCTTTTCTAATTCTTCTGCACTATTCTCTAAATTAACACCATACAGGATTAAGGTAGTAAGAAAGAAAAAAAAAGCTTTCTAATGAAATATCACATGATCTTTGTTACCATTTAAAAAAATTCAAGATGGCGATCGCACTCAAAACCCATTAAAAAACAAAAAAACTTTTACAGTTGTACATTAGGCATAAAGGATATAAAACTGTCAAAAACTTTTTTTTTAATACCTGGTTTGAGCTAGGAAACTGTTCTGTAAAGAATTTGGCACCTGGTTTTACTTCATGATTTTTTTTTAATTGATTTGGCGCATCTACTTCTAGGGTCTTTAGCGCCGTAACTACACATAACAATTACAATTTATCGAATATATTTATTGCTTTTGTAAACTGTATCAAATTGTTTACAGAAGAAAGTAAACAAAATTTTGTATTGAGATACCTAATTACACAGCTATTTTTGAAACGAAGTTCACCTAAAACTCGTAAAATTATAAAATTACATAATTATTTTCCTTAAATTGAGTTTTTCTCTTAAATTTGATCATATAATAAATTTTTTATGCTCTTACATCCAATAAAAGTGCACTCTTTAAGAATACGTAACGTAAACTAGTAGTTGCCATTAAAAAATATATGCTCCCTTTCACCATGCAGAAGTACGCCACTGACCGCAATTTTAAAGTACGCAGATACTAGATTGGTAGTAAATTTTTTATGGATACCACAGATTCTTAAAAAAATGTTTGCAGATATACAGGGTGGGCCATTAGTGTGTGGGTTTATTAACGCGCATACTTAAAATTCATTGCGGGGGAATGCTGAAGGACGTTTCAGGCTACAACTAAAAAATATTTTCAACGAAATTGCAATTGTTATACAGGGTGATTTATATGAAGGTTGCATTTTTTTAATGGATCCCTCTGTATATTATTACATATTTGGATTCCTTAGTCAATTTTTTTCGATTTCCAAAACCTCTGAGAAATTAATAGGCCGTTAAAAATTACAAACAATTGAATTTATAAAAAATTTACTCCAAATAAAATAAAACAAAAACCAAAATAAAAAGTTTAAATAAAAATAAGAGAAAAATAATTATTTCAATAAATGTTCAAGACCACACCTCCCACGAAATTCAGCCATTCTTTAACGTTTATAGCAAAATGAAGTAGGACACCATCGTGCTGAAACCACATTTCTTTTCCGATGTGCACCAGAACATTTTGAAGAAGAGCAAAAAAAAGAGTACTTACAAATTTAAAGTAAAAAGCACCGTTTAAAATATGTTATTCAAATTCCATTTTTCTAACACAACAATCAACAACAGAATTTTAAATGCTAATAAACTAAACTGACAGATGTTATTTCATTTTATTTTGTGTTAATATTTTCTAATATGGCTTTCGTGGCTTACTATTCAAATTGATTTATTTATAAGTTCACGTATTGGTTTAAATGCAAATTCATTATTTTATCTTTTAAAATGGGCTACCACAAAGAGTTTTTGTTTTGTTTTGTTGGAGGTAAATGTATTATCATTTGAATTGGTGAATTATTAGAAATGTTACATTTCATGCAACAAAAAAACTTCGTAGTTTCATTTAAAAAAATCAAGTTACCTTTGAATGAAATGAATAGTGCTACTGCAAAGTCACGGCCTTCTAAGTTTTATGTTAACTACGATATTGAATTTTTACTGGACATCTACTTTTTGAAAAAACGACGAATTGCGGCTAAACTACTCATTTTAGATATCATGTGTAATAATCAAGTCACACTAAAATTGACCAATGAATCGGAATATGTAATAATATACAGGGGGTTCCATTAAAAAAATGCAACTTTGATATAAATCACCCTGTATAACAATTGCAATTTCGATGAAAATATTTTTAGATTGTAGCCTTAAGGGTCCTTCAACATTCCCCCACAATGAATTTTAAATATGCGCGTTAATAAACCCACAATCATCCACCCACACACTAATGGGCCACCTTGTATTCAATGTTCCAGACGAAATGTTCACCCTGTATATGAATACTATCTCATTATCCTTTTTAGCAATTCTAATGTTAATCCAATTTCTACCTTTGCGGTAGGTAATCCTTATCCAAAAGGTAACGCTGAAACAGACAACTACTAATTGTGATTAAGTTTACGAATCAGAATACAACAAATTGTTTTTATTTTTAGTTTCTTTTTAATTAACCAGATATAAAGATCTTTAATCATAAAAACAATTGGATATTTCACTAATACAATCATTAAAATGGTTCCAAGACATTTCTTTTCAATCTTTACTTGATATCTAAAGGGATATAATAGTTATTTTTGATACAAGATGATAAAGCCATTGACTGAATTAACTTTCACTTCCCATTTATCGTCGTGTATAACACAAAACTTTATCTTATAGCAGAAGCCATTATGAAACTTTGGAAAATTCTGAATTTAAGACGTCAAAAATAGCAAGCGTCATTTCCACGGAAACAATATTGTATTCTGTTCTAAACTTCATTTTATTTCAAGTTCCGCGTCACATTTTTAATAAGAATAACAGATGTCATTAGAACGCACAGTCATTTGTTTCACTTTATGTACCCTTGCCGTTAAAGTGATCACTTTATCTACTCTTACTGTTAAAGAGAGACTTAGCCTACTCATTCCCACCTATTAAAATGTCAATTTCATTTGCTATACTCAAAGGTGAAGTGAGTAGGTACCTAGCAGCTCATATCGTAAAAGAAAGAACACCATAGAATAATGCAACGAGAAACTTACCCGTTTCCAATTTCAAGACCAATTCCTCCTTGCTCTTCTCCAACTCTCCAATGGCCTCCCTCAATTTAGTTATCTCATTTTGCTGCTCCACGATACCATCCTGCCCTGCAGCTCCCTTTTTAAGTTCATCAATTTTCTTATTCAACTCCTTCAACTTGCTCTTATGTTGCGCCTTAATTTTGATCATATTTTTATTACCCTCGTCAACCTGCTTCTTCAATTTGGCAACCTCCTCGGTTTCCACAGGGGACGACTGACTAGCCGCTTGCAACTCGGCTACGGTTGCGTTCAACTCCTGAATTGTTAGCTCGTGTTCCATTACCTTCGCCTTGTGCTTATCGCAGTCGTCCTTGAGACCGTCGATAACCTTTTGCGGATCAACTTCTTTCGCCTTGCCCTTCGGACCCTTTTTACCCTTCTTACCGCGTTGCGGGGAATCCCTCGGCGAGCCCTCCAATCGCGACAATTCCGCGTTAAGCGACTCCAACTCGGAGACGCGATTTCTCAAGGCAACCACCTCCGGTTGCAAATTGTCCGAGTGTGATGTTACCTTGATAATTTCCGTTTTCAACATCGCGTTCTCTTCGTTCAGAGCGAATATTTCCGCCATCTTCGCGTTTAACTGTTCGCTGAGCTCCACCGGATCTTGCAAAGCACCAGTTTCCTTGTCGACGGATGCATAGAGTACTTCCTCCAGTTTCGATCGGTAGATCTTAACATCTTCCTGGAGGGCCGAGTTACTTCGATCCAAAGTAAAATTGGCGGACTGTAACTCGGTGACCAAAGCGATTTTTTGTTCGAGACGATTTACCAATTCCGCTTTCTCGGCTTTCATTTCCATTTCTAAAGTGACAAAATTCTCTTGCATTTTACGCATCTGTTCTTTGGTATCGTCCAAAGCGTCGAGGGTATTTTTACCCTTTTTACTTAGACTTTCAGTCATTAAAGTAATTGCCTTCGTTCGGGCGTCAATCACCGAGTCTTTCTCCTTGAGGTTCTCTTGTAAGTCTAAGACGTTTCCTTCTAATTTATGTACTTTGGCATTTAGTTCCGTTATTTTCTTATCTTTAATTACGAGTAAATTATACAATTCTTCGTGGCTAGTGTCAATACTGTAATCGGTTCGGGTGTCAGCTACAGATGGCTTTAAAGGAGTTAAACTAATGAGTTGTTGCGAATCGTCTAATTGGGCCTTTAACTGGGTCACCGTTTCTTCCATGCCTTTCTGGAATTTTCCTCGTTCAGCTAAACGCAACCTACAAGCACGACATTAATATGATCGGGGACAAGGAGACAGCCTACCTGTTTTCTTCCAACTGTTGACGTAACAACATAATTTTTTCGGACGCCGGCGTTTCCGAGGCGGTACCCTCATCGCCTTGCTCGCTTCGTTGAAGCCGATTTTTTTTAACGCGCGCACTCATTCGTGTAAGAGTGTTGGCATATTCCTCCACTTTTTCTTGGGTAACGTTCGTATTTTCGGTTTTCCGTAACATTTCCTTTAGCTGTGCTATTAAAACCTGTTGCTGCTCGAACTGATCTTTGAGGTCTATAAATTCCTGGTGGCTGGAGGCACCTGTTGAGCCCTCTTCGCCCTTGCCACCTCCGGGATCAGGCTCAGATCCCGAACCCACCCACATCGTTATTGCCTGAAAGCACAACTTTAATATTCGCTTCTTAAGGGTGTCTACACGCAAGTGTTACCCTAAATTTGTTGTAATTTTGAATAAATGGACAATCATATGTTTATATCACATACTCCACGTAAGGAGTGGTGATTAAATTCCCCCAGAAGTTGGCCACACCGATGACAGCTGACTGACTGACAGCAATTGATTAAAGCAAGATTTACACTAGCTATACGGTTTACAGGAAGAAAATAAATTGTCCCTCAATCCCTTTATACAAAGCACTACAACTGTGGCATGGAGTACGATTATTCCCTACCTTCTAGAAGCGTAACTACATAAAATGGGCAGACTTCAAGATTAAATAACGCGTGCCTCTTATTTATTTATTTTTGCCTTTATTTTGAGTAGGCGAAGTTTCAAGCAAGGCTACTCGAAAGAGGGGACGGCTCCAACGCGAGACCTTATTCAAGGGCCTAGTAGCGGGCCAGCTCCTATTCGCAAGAAGAATAGGCGATGGCCAGCACTAGCCGGCTTGAGGGTAAAACCTCAGGTCAAACGCGAGCCCTCTGCACTAAAACCACAGGGGCCAAAAGTGTCAGATCGGAAGGAAGCACTTCTGGGTCTGGCTCAGGGCACAAGCCTAGAGATTCTGGAACACCCAAACTTGCGGGTTCATCATGAATGCGGTGAGGATCCTACTTTCAAGGCGAGTCTGTGGAAGACGTTCTTCCACAAAGAGGAGCCTGGTGTCGATGAGGTATCCTAGCGGGACACTCCTGCCTGATGATCTGTAAAGGACACGTTGAGCGAATAAGCAATAAGATAAGAAGAATCGCATACAATTTTCAGTAAGGAAATTTTTTGCCATTCAGCTTGTATTAAAAAAATCAAAAATGTCCCTAAAACGCCACTACAAAAAAAATAAGAATACTGTACGGTGCACTTGTATCGTGGCCTATCATGCGGAAGGCAACTTCAACAGGAAGCAGCTTATTATATGTAGGTATAGGTAAATTATACAAAGACTCCGCCTGTCTGGGAGCCACAGGACCCATGAAGACCACGCCAGGATTGGAGGGCTTCCACACGAGGGCTTCCACACGGTTAAATGATTGAGAAGTGGAAGGATTGATGTAGCCTTGGCCACGGGTAGAGAGGAAATCAATTCAAAAGATTTGGACAATTTGCCTCTAAAAAATTAGAATTTGGTTTTGTTGATCCCCATGGTTACTTGATCTTGGCCAAGATGGTTAATTGTTCAAGTTTACTTGCGAATTGGTTATGGACATTTAGATTATAAATAAGTAGGTACCTAAGATGTTTTCGATGATTATTTAATTTACTTTTTTCTTAAGCCCCATTTAGAAAGTTGTCTGTGATCTCTGCCACTTCATCCTGGCTACGGGCGTGAGAGTCATTACCCTGTTTGGGTATCTCTTTCGTTCTTCTCATCTCCATATGGTTTGTGTTGGTGTTGCCTCTGTAGAAGTGATGGGAATAGGCAGTAAGTGACCAGCCTCCGTACTTCTGGTGGCGGAATTGCACTGCTGCCTCGTTCTCCCCGGAAAGTATGCGGAAAGCACACACTATTTTTGCAACACCAGTACTCATTGGCGCTTCCACCACCACCAGGTCTCTTGTTATGAACTCTGAAAGAGGGAAGGCTGTTAGCTTCGGCTTTATGAGAAATTTTGACCTTTTGACCCTTTGACCCTTTAATAATTCAAAGTCCCTGCAGAGTTAGGATAACCCTTGATTTCCCACGGTTATGTGTCCATGAACCTAGCAGAGCAAAGTCAGCAGAACACAATCAAACATATTGCATAATTAGGTGCTAATTAAGTGCCCTATCCCCGAATTAATGCTCCTTTTCATTTAAATTATTACATGTTCTGGTAGGTTCTTATGAACTCAGCAGAGCACTACCTTAAAAACCCAAGAAAATGAAAAGTGAACTAACTATAATAATTAGGTTTTATCTTAATTATCAAAAATCACATAGCATCCTACGTCCGGTGCCCGTGCTACGCTTGCACTTTTCATAATTCAACGCACTAATATAGCAATTTGCTTTCGAAGTACGCCTTTGTAAAATTTGTTTTTTGCGTTTTAGAGCAATAAATTAGCACCCTTTAATACACCAAATCACGAACACTTAAAGACGTATTTGTTTTTGTAAACACAGTGCCTGTCGCTGCTTAAATCATGTAAATAGTAGAAGTAAAAATAAAAAAAGGAAGAGCACAGAATTTGAAAACAGGCCACTTAATTAGCACCTAATTATTAGCATAGAGAAAA